ACACTAACTAGGTGTGTGTGCGGCACAATGAACCGGAATATTAGTCCTCATTCATTTCTATTTATTGCTCGTCTTTATTAGTCTTTTTCTTACTTTTATATAATATTTTTATTATTTTTAAAATTTTTGCCAACTGTTTTTAGCCCTTTTATTTTACTCTCTAAATTACTATTTATTATCCTATTTTTCTGCGTTGAAAGAAAAACAGAATATTTTTAAGCTGCACAGAGGCGGGATAAACGGGAAGTAAGCATGATGGGGCAGCGAAACTGGCTGGTAGATCCCGATAAAAGTCATGGACTGTATGTTAAAGGTTCTGCTAAAACGTGCATTCGACATTGAAATTTTGATTGCTGTTTATTCCACGATCAAATCAGCTGATACAGCTGTATCAAAGTTTGATACTTGCTATCCACGTGAAATACTCACAAGATTGTCAAAACGTACGTGAATGGGCCAAAACTGTCTTTGGGCTGCATTTTTGCTAAAACTTATTTATTTGTGAGATTCTAAACAGTGTTGCAGGATTTTCACCGGAGACAATCTTACAATAATTTTATTCTATCATGAGTGAGAAAAGTGGCTGTCGACCTTTTGCTCGATTTATGTTTTGCGCAATAGCATTTATACAGATGGTGAGTAGCTTGGGAAAAATTGTTTCCAGCAATTTAGGAAGTGTTAAATTGCTCTAATATGATTTTTGAACAAAATAAGCTAATTTATTTTGACATTATTCATAAAAAAACAATTGGAATGGCAAATTTTTTGATGGCCGCTCTTGGTATGTTCCCTATCGTTTTACACGTAAGGAATACTATTTGTGATTTTTCAGCTAATTGGACTTGCTGTAATAGCACTGACTTTATGGCTTCGTCTTGATCCAAAATTTGAGGAAGACATGCGGGCAAATATTCTGCGCACTGAAAATGGTCATCCAGCAATGGACAGTGTCAAAATGAACATCCGGCTCGGTGTAAGGCTGTTTGTTGCTTACATTTATTTTATTGAATTTTTATCTAACGTTTTTTTCCCATTTTTATGAGTATTTCAAAAAAGTGATGCGAACAAGATTGGGAAGAGTAAAGATCACGTTTTATAAAGACAGGCGCGAAATCCGCTATGCCGAAATCGTTTTTGCTTTACCTGTAGACAAAGGAGACCTGTATAAGTGAATGGTATCCGTGAAAAAGAAAACGATCACTCGAAGAAATGGTGAAAAGATGACAAGCACAGGCAGAGATAAGGATGGCAAAAAGAGACTGATTTCCTGAAACAACAAAGCCTTGCGTCTCAAGCACCTGCCGTACACTGCATTTAGCAGTATCAGAAAATCCATATTAACAGTCT